TGCGTCAAATCGCCCGAAGCACCATTAGTACCGCTTCACGCAGACAGTTTGAAAATAAAGTGTCGGAGAAACAGAAGCTATTTCAGGAGAATAATGGGATTCCGGTGCATCTAAAGGGTGGAGCAGCGGATGCCCAGCGGTCTAGAGCCACCATGGTTCTGACAATCGGAGGAAGAGCCTGCCATGTATCAGCTGGCTAGGGCTTCATTTCCCAAGAAGCGGGATTGACTTCAGTTTATCCTTCCAGCAGTTGGTTCTATTTAACTCAGTGCTCGATGGACCAGGAAATAAATAACAGCTCTTCTTTGGGGATCAATAGGTATTGACTTGTACTGACTGCCACCAATCAAGCAGTCTTTACCATGAAAAAAAAAAAAAAGACATCCAGGATTTTATCTTGGATCCACGATCAGTGCTCATGGAAGCAGCAATCAAAAAGTCCAACAACTCATTGCTTTGGGTCCATCTGCTGCACAAGACTGCTTCAGAGCGTTGAAGAACAAGGAGGTCACTTTGAAAACAAAGTTGCAACTGGCCCAAGCTATGATATTTTCAATCGCCTTCTATGGATGGGAAGGTTGGACCTTGAATAGGGAAGCTCTAAGAAGAGTCCATGCATTTGAATTATCATGGTGGTGAATAATATTGAAAGTACCGTGGGCAGCCAAAAAAATAAAATAAAATAAACCAATCTGTCTTGGAAGAAGTACAGCCAGAATGCTCCCTAAAAGCAAGGACGGTGAGACTTGTGTCATGAATTCTGAACATGTTGTCAGGAGAGGCCAGCCCCCGGAGGAGGAAGGACATCGTGCTTGGGAAAGTGGAGGGGCGCCACGAAGGAGGAAGACCCTCAATGAGATGGATGGACACAGTGTGGCTATAACAATGCACTCACACATAATAAAAATTGTGAGGGCGGTACAGGACCGGGCAGGGTCGCTAGGAGCTCTGGGCTGACACCTCCACCATCCCTTATCCCCTGGTCTGGTTACAGGTTTTGGGCCAGGTGTCCTGGCTGGGCTTGTGGAGATGGAAAACAACAGGGAGACTACCGTTGGTTCAAGGGTTGGTAGGGAAGGATTCGGGGGAACAAACACAATCAGGACACCTGGTTTGGAATGGACCCTGTGCTGGGTTGGGGGTAGGTAGGGAACACAGAGGGGGACAGAGCTGGTTCCGGCTCACAGGAAGCCCTAATCTTGGCCCGGTCCAGTGAAGGCTATGGGAGACCTGAGCTGAATCATTCCGGGAAGCCAGAAAGGATGCCAGGAAGTGCTGTCCAGCCTGCTCACTGGACAAGAACGTGACCAAGGGAGCAGGTGAGACCTGCCGTCCACTCACCACGTGCGGTACCTTGGGGAGGTGGCACGGCTGTCTAGTTTGAACAAAAATACCATTCATTTGGCAAGCTGTGTCCAGGGTAAGTGATGGGTGTGGAAGTGGGGCTCCCTGGGAGCATGTCTCCACCACCCCCCCCAAACTAGGGTTCTGGGAGGGTAGCAGAGTCCGCGCCTGTCGTCTCCCTCTTGTTTGTGCTCAGACAGGGGGTACTGAACAGATTCCATGTATCCCCCAATGGAGACAGTGACCTGAATTCCGCCTGGAGCCCCTGAGTCTTTGGAGCACCCAGAGTTCTGGTGCCAAGTCCCTTCCCAGACTAGGGTGGGAGCAGGTCCCGGGCTGGAGGGAAGGGGATTTACGCTGTAATGATCTGATTCCAGGCTGGGCTTGAGGCTGATGATCTGGGCGTGGGGTGGGCGGGTCAGAGGGACCCTGGGTGGGATGGACCAATGAGGAGGCATTCTAGGAAAGGCCTTTCAGAGGGCCTGGAAACAGGTGTGTGTTTGGAATGGGGGAGGAAC